ATGAACAATACAGCAGGGGGTGGGGGTATACAGTACATAAATAGAATTAAAAAGACTTGATCGAGGCTGCAAGGAACACTCCACTCTCCGGTTAACAGCAATGTACCTGGTTGCGTTCCTTCGTATCTGGCACACTGTCTCAGCAGCTGCACTACAATTTAAACTCGTGCTCTGTGTCCAGGGAGTATCGGCAACTTCACTGCTATCTGCTGCTACTGGTAGCACCGGTACAACGGGAGTAGTTCAGGCAGTGAGCTTCAGTGGTTCCTGTTGATCAGCAGGGGTTACTGCACAGCACGTCTGCATGTGTACCACAGTATAGGGTACAGCTCACTGGAGTCAGGAATCAGCGTCTCAGGATGTTGTGGGACCAAGTCAGGTTACCTTCCTGACTAGAGATTTTCCCTTATGTCTCAACTTTAAATACCCTAGTTAATTTATGGCCATGCAAATAATAAAATGTATATAACGAAATGATTGGTTATCTTGAAATAGTCGACAAATCAGTGTACAGAGGATGCCAATTTTGGTAGTGGAATAAACCACTTTTAATCCAAGCTCTACCAATTTAAAGTAGGAGACTCGGGTCAATGATGTCATATCTATTTTCATTGCCAACAACACTGGGCTCAGCACATTCCAAAGTATTTCACAATCACCACACCACTATCTGGGACATACCATTATCCCAAAGGGGAAACAGGACGTATGTGTATCAAATTTTGCTGACACCCCAATCCAGCTACTGTATCAGCAGTCTAAAAATAAACATGTGCAATGAGTGGTGGCAAAGTATCCAAACATGTGTGCTTTCCACACACACATCCAGGGCTCTGTTCCCTTTTCCAAGTACTTCCCAGTTACAATTTACGTCACAATATTTTCCCGTTCAGCAATATTTTGAAACGCAGCAATTGGCATAAGTAACTATGTGATCTCAATCACGGTTTAGAAGGCTTATTTTAATAAGATTAATTCCGCCAAAAACAAAGTTAAGTAAACAGCTTAAAACAGGCTTAAATTGTGTCATCTCTCCTTCTGTTTTTAGCTCCATGGTTTCACTTTTAGATATATGTTTGTAGACAATTGCTATGGAAAACACAATGTGCAACTATATTAAAAGTGACCAAAAAACTCTGAAAAACAATAAGTGAAACGAAAGACTACTAGTAATTTACTTGCCTCTAAAGAAAACTATGTAATTGAATATAATTGAAAAAAATCCGTCTAAAATAAACAATGAAATAAATTGTTTAGAATAAAGCTAACCTCCGACAACAGCAAAAATAATGCTATGGTGACGAGGCGTCATAGACGACTTTCCCGAAAGTCAAAATTACGGCGTTTCGCATGCGCGCGCATATCGTGTTGGGGTGTACACCGTTGCCATTCTCCTTCCCAGAGTTCCTTGCGGTTAGATCACCGAAAGTATCTCTGCCACCACACACCGCCATTTTGTGGTGAAACACCACAAGACTTTTACTACGCGTATCATTTGCGTATTTTTGTTATTAGATGGCTTTCGTGTTGATTTATTCCTACTGGAAAACAAGTTTTAAAATATGTCGTCGATAGCTGATAATGATTTTTTCGTAAACACACTGAAAACGGTGAAATAGTTATAATTTACAAAAGAAAATAATTTCATCGCGGAATAACGGTTACTAAGGTGTTACTCGGTTCATCAAGCTGACGGCCCTGTCGATCGCTAGCGAAGACATTATGAAGAAAGGAAAGTACTTCGTGGTATTGACAGCAAACACGTTCTATTGCCACTCCGTTTGTGCCAAGGAAAGTAAAAATATGAGCTTCTCACTGTGAAAACAGCCAGAATCTACAAACAACGCGCACGCTTTCGTTAGGTTCGAAAATCGAACACCTGCATTGCAATGTTTTGGTGCGCGTCTTTGAAAGTAGTACCACTGTGACGCATCGACCAATCAACGACAACCATAAGATCGCGTGGTGGCAGAGATATATTCGTAATAGAACTCTGCCTGGGGAGAATGCACCGTTGCGTCCAATCTCCTTCCCAGATAGATGCCTTTGCGCTTTACGCAATAGTGCCTCTGCCACAGGCAGCCTTCAATTTT